GGGCTATCTGGGAATGGGATAGTACTGGGCAACAGTATATGGGGGCCATGTGGTTTCAGTATCATGGGCCCAACATGGGAAGCCCATGTGGGCAGACCACATTGAACCCACATGACATCAGCATGGGCTGACCATCTATGGGTTAGACCTGGGTGTGGATATGTAGGCCCCAGTCCTTTTTTAAGTGGGCTAACTGGGAATGGGATAGAACTGGGCAAAACTATGTGGGGCCCATGTGGTTTCAGTATAATGTTCCCAACATGGGGAGACCATGTGGGCAGACCACATTGAACCCACATGACATCAGCATGGGCTGACCATATATGGGTTAGACCTGGGTGTGGATATGTGGGCCCCAGTCCTTTTTTAAGTGGGCTATCTGGGAATGGATAGTACTGGGCAACAGTATGTGGGGCCCATGTGGTTCTAGTATCATGGGCCCAACATGGGAAGCCCATGTGGGCTGACCACATTGAACCCACATGACATCAGCATGGGCTGACCATATATGGGTTAGACCTGGGTGTGGATATGTGGGCCCCAGTCCTTTTTTAAGTGGGCTATCTGGGAATGGGATAGTACTGGGCAACAGTATGTGGGGCCCATGTGGTTCTAGTATCATGGGCCCAACATGGGAAGCCCATGTGGGCTGACCACATTGAACCCACATGACATCAGCATGGGCTGACCATATATGGGTTAGACCTGGGTGTGGATATGTGGGCCCCAGTCCTTTTTTAAGTGGGCTATCTGGGAATGGGATAGTACTGGGCAACAGTATGTGGGGCCCATGTGGTTCTAGTATCATGGGCCCAACATGGGAAGCCCATGTGGGCTGACCACATTGAACCCACGTGACATCAGCATGGGCTGACCATATATGGGTTAGACCTGGGTGTGGATATGTAGGCCCAGTCCTTTTTTAAGTGGGCTATCTGGGAATGGGATAGAACTGGGCACAACTATGTGGGGCCCATGTGGTTTCAGTATCATGGGCCCAACATGGGGAGACCATGTGGGCAGACCACACTGAACCCACATGACATCAGCATGGGCTCATGTCATGGGCCCAACATGGGGAGACCATGTGGGCTGACCACACTGAACCCACTGTGGGTTCAGTGTGGTCAGTACATATCCACGCCCAGGTTGGACCTGGGTGTGGATATGTAGACCCCAGTCCTTTTTTAAGTGGGCTAAATGAGACAAAATTGTAGAACAATGTACAGGGGTTGGACAATGAAACTGAAACACCTCTCATTTTAGTGTCGGAGGTTTCATGCCTGAATTGGACTAGCCTGGTGGCCAATCTTCATGAATTGCACATTGCAACAGTAGAGCAGAGTGTGAAGGTCCAATTAGCAGGGTAAGAGCACAGTTTTGCTCAAAATATTGCAATGCACATAACATTATTTGGGACATACTGGAGTTCAAAAGAGGGCAAATTGTTCACCAAGACAGCAAGTCTTTGTGATTATCAAGAGCCACAGTATCCAGGGTAATGTCAGCATACCACCAAGAATGACGAACCACATCTAACAGGATTAACTGTGGATGCAAGATGAAGCTGTCTTAAAGAGATGTTTGGGTGCTAACCTGGATTGTATCCCAAAAACATAAAACCACGGTGCCCAAATCACGGTAGAATTAAATGTGCACCTCAACTCTCCTGTTTCCACCAAAACTGTCCGTCGGGAGCTCCACATGGTCAATATACACAGCCGGGCTGCTATAGCCAAACTTTTGGTCACTCGTATCAATGCCAAACGTCGGTTTCAATGGTGCAAGGAGCGAAATCTTGTGCTGTGGACAATGTGAAACATGTATTGTTCTCTGATGAGTCTACCTTTACTGTTTTCCCCACATCCGGGAGAGTTACGGTGTGGAGAAGCCCCAAAGATGCATTCCAGCCAGAGTGTTGTATGCCAGAGTGAAGCATGGGGGTGGATCATTGATGGTGTGGGCTGCCATATCATGGCATTCCCTTGGCCCCATACTTGTCCAAGACGAATTGATGCTGTATTGGCCTCAAAGGAGGCCCTACACCACGCTAATAAGTTATTGTGGTCTAAAACCAGGTGTTTCAGTTTCATTGTCCAACCCCTGTAGTTAACCTGTCACTTTCAAAATTTTGACTGTATGTCAAAGCAAAAGCTGCAAGAGCAAGATTCTCAAAACTTGGAAAGAATTACCCGAGATGTCAGCTTTATAGTCTTTGCCAAGGCAATTGTTACTCAGCTGGCCTCTAATGGAGTTGATGTAAGGTAAATTGTAGAATTTAATTTTTTCCTTGTAGGAAACCTCGACGATAGTAAAGGTTGGTGACCTTGACCATTGTCGAGGTCTCCAGGACGAAGGTGACCTCGTCTTGGAGATCACCCAAGGATATATTTTGCTGATAGAACAGAACATCCATGTCTTCCTAATGTTTGAACCTAAAACATGTTCACTGTGTGATATCTATGCCTGGCTCATTTACAAACAATAGGCTTCCAGAGGACCAGGATATTAAAACATTAAAAATAATTCTACAATGCTTTATTTTTTTAAACCAGTTCAGTATTGCTCTAGCCACACTTTGAACCCTTAACATTTTTTCATGTTATTATTTTATGCTAGAACAGTCCAGTCCAGTCTCCAAGCCAGTACGCATGAGTGGGCCCCCCTTGGGTTTGTAGTAGGCCATATGGGTAATGAGTGGTCATGGGTTTTATCTGGGCAAACCTCATGGGACACATAAGGTTAACTAAAATGGGACCCCTATGGGCTGGCCCATTTGGGCTAAATGTATGGGCCCTATTCAGCAACAATGTGGGCTAACTGGAAATGGGACAGAAATGGGCAACACTATTTGGGGCCCATGTGGTTTCAGTATCATGGGCCCCACATGAGAAGCCCAATGTGGGCTGTCCACATTAAACTAACATGACATGAGCATGGCTAACCATACATGGGTTGGACCTGGGCAGGAAAATGTAGCCCCTAGTACTTTTTTCATGGTCTAAATGGGACAAAATTGTAGAACATTTTAATCGACAATGTGGTTACCCTGTCACTTTCAAACTTTTCACTGTATGTCAAAGCAAAAGCCAGTTCAGTATTGCTCTTGCTACACTTTGAACCCCTAACTTTTTTTTCATTTTATTATTGCAGTCTGAATGTCTTAAAACATTTTTTTGAAATAATCTGTTTGAAATATATACGTAAACTCATATTCTGGTGCTTACTCAAAATTAAGCACAGAGTGGTCATGGTTGAGCTTTAGTCCTTGTTTTATTTTTAATAATAATAACTTTTTATTTTATTTTTATTATTATTTTTTATCAATTGGATGTTTAGACATCCATAGAGTTTACTGCAGCCTGTTCGCAGCAAGATTTAAATTTTTATTTGGACAAATAGTTCAGATCAGACCATTGTGAAAAATATCACAAAATGTTTAGAAAATAAACAAAACTCATTAGCAAGTGAGAGACAAGAGTAAAATTTTGAGCATCTGTTTTTTCATATATTTGCAAACATTTTCCAAGTCATCAGTATAAATAAAAATAAAAAATAAAAAAACGTAACATTTCTGTTAATGATTCATTTGGTTCCAATTACCTTTTTGTTCATTGTTTGCTCTGAGGCACCGTTGCCAATAAAGGTTGGTGAATTGAAGTACCGGTAGGCACTTTACACATCCACTGAAGAAAATAGTTCCAAAACATATTTGAATAAGGAGGACAACGAAATGTATTTATTTACATTGAGAACTTTTGCTACATCGGTTTTACATTTGTTAAACCGATGTAGCACTCTCAAAATTAATCTTGTGTTTCTTGGAAAACGTAAAATGACCCGCGGATGGATATGCGGTTTCAAAATCAAGCCTGTTCTCTTCATCAGTCCGTTGGCGCGGAGTCTGCCTGTTGGCTGATCTACGAAAGAATCTGTAAGTACATTTCTTCTGTTTTACCTAGTACCAAATTTTAGGGAGAGATTTTAAATCGCTTGTTAAAAAAATTGTTGCTCGTAACAAATCGGACGACAGTATCCCAAAAGAGACTTAATTGTTATTGTTATTTTTGCTTTTCTTTAGGGTGATACTTTTTCTGATATTGCTAACACACACAGCTACACACAATAAGCAGATTTTAGTGCAGACCGATTTCAAACGCAGCGTTGTGGGCCAAACCATTTTCAAATACCGCCGCCATTCTATTTGTTGAGCTGCCATTGGTTCATTTGAGCGCCAACGAGGCAGAATGAAATCGGTTCACTGAAGAATCTATGTTGCTAGCAGAGGTTGTTACAAAGTGTCTGGACACAATAAAACCATTTGTATGATTTAAAAAGAGTAACTATTGTGCTTTCATTCTATGTACTTGGGCTTTTAATAATCTTTCTCACAGTCACATCAGCATGCATGGGTGGGTCTCATGTATGGATTCAGGCTGGTTTGGCTGGGACCCATGCAAGATTATTATTGTCGTTTTTTTCAATAAAACTGCATTGAATCGTTTAGCTTTGGGCTATATAGGTAATGATAAGAGGGCATGGGTTTTATCTGGGCCAACTGCGTGAGGCTCAAAAGGTTAACCGAAATGGGACTCATATTGTTGGCTCAATTGGGTTAAATGTATGGGCCCAATTCAGCATTAACGTGGGCTAACCGGGCATGGGACAGAAATGGGAACACTATATGGGGCCCATGTGGTTTCAGTATATTGGGCCTAAAAGGTTTTTTGTAAATAGGATGAAGGCATTGTAGTTCATATTTTTAAATTCTTTTTTTAATTGTTGTGTGACACTTTAAAGCGTTTTGTTATGTCATAGTTTATTTCAATCTGCCGCTATTGTGTTGGTCGAGAGTAGTCATCAGTGTCAGGGTTCCTGTGTGTGTATGTGAGTGTTGCATCTTATTTCAGCGAGGAGCCCGTGGAGCTTGGCACAGGTGGAGGAGCAGCAGAATCTTCAGTCTACGCTAGATTGACTGAAGATTCTACTGTGTATGCTAGATGGTTGCATACACCGGTAGTCACTCTGGCCTCTCCTGTTGTGAACAGTTTTCTGAGAACGTTTCTGTGTCTACTAGAAGTCACCTGGTCTCTGTGTTTGTTCGATCCTAGGGGTTTTGTCGCCTCATTCGAGAACTCACCAGTGAATACCTGCCTGCTCGCTCCGCCGATTCCACTGCCTCCACTCCACCCTTCGAGTTTCCAGCTCTCTTCCATTCCCACCTCGCATTTACCTTCGGAACCGCTGCACACCCTCTCTCAGGAACCTGGCATCTCACACCCACGCCTCGAAAGACCCGCACCGAAGTAAGCCTGTTCCTGTTTCCCCTCCGATCACTCATTCTAAGCCCGTCATAACTAAGTTCTCGTTTCAGGCCAACCTGGTCGAGTGGTCCTCACCCTTCCGCTGATGTCCGGGAAATAGATTTTATTTTGTCCTGTTGTAAATAAATCACTCACTCATCCCTATCCAACGTGTGGTTACTGCATGTGGGTCCGTAAATTGAAACCCATCATGTCAATCAGTGGCCAAGCCTGAAACAAATATTGAAAGATGAAGAAATTCTTTTTGATATTTTTGCAATATTTAGCTAGCAGTTATGTGAAATGTACTTATATTTAATTGTAGCTCTAATTTTTTTATATGTGCAATGTTTTAGGCTTTATTAGTTACATTTATAGTGATTTTCTAAACTGTTCTTAGGATTAATACTACTGTTTTAGTCCTGTCACAGTACCATATAAATGAGTATAATTGCATTAATGAAACTGTTCAGTGTTTACAATATAAGGCTTCAGTAGTTAATCTATACAAAGGCTGTTTTGCCTTAATTTTTTTATTTTTTTGAAAAGTCTAAATGTTATATTGCACTAATAAAATATATATTTTTGCAGGCTTCAAGAGGATCAGCGTGTGAAGATCACTTTATAATGATTTGAAAAAGGTAGATTAATATGTTAGTGAAATTAAGCACATAAGAGTGATATAACAAACTGATGAACAAAAACAAAATGTTGTCCTGTTATTGTCATTGTACTTAAGGTTGCCATGGCTACAGAAATTGGAGGAGCATCCTTAGATGACACAATACAACCAGCTGTGCGATTCCTCATGTCCCATGAACTGGAAGTCCAGTTCAACCTTTTTGGCCAACATTGGAAACAAGCTCTTGGACCTGCGTCTCTTTGATGTTTTGTATGGTAAATATCAGTTTTTATTGTCAGAGTAACTTTTTTTTTTCACTTTTCTTTCTGAAACATATGTTAATTTATTTTGGTTGTTTGTTATTTTTAGTAATGTTTTTAGTTAAAAATTGAGTCTTCAATTTTTGGTTTTATTTGAACAGTATTCTTTCACTGTTGTTAAGAACTTAAAAATTTGAAGGTAATATTGTTTGCATTTCAAACAATATTAAAATAACCACAAAACCACGATAGAACCTAGTAGTTGATTTATATAGATGGATATATTTTAAATTTACAGTAAGAATATAGTTTCTGTACATAATAATGATGACTCAAGAGTCCTTTTGATTATGGCATATCTCTGCAAGCATTTTTGCCCCATGAAGGGGGAGATGCAAATCTCATGAATGTTACATTGTGCTAAAATGAAACACTAATACAATTTCTACCTTTGCTTGTTATTTCAGGGGACTTAAAAGAAATTATCCATCTACAGAATCACACAAGCATACAGCAAAGACTCTCGAAGTGGTTTACTGGAGCCCGAGTGAAGTGGAAATAGACTAGAGAGACTGCCAGTTCAAACTCAGGTTGGGGAGGTCTTTCAAGATGGACAGTTTCAGTAAAGTATGAGAGATTTCAAATTTAAGCATGCATATGGCATGTAGGTTATTTTTAAAAATGTTTAACAAAAATGTATTGTGAAAGATCTATATAGGTGTGTATATTCACATTGTGTGTATCAATGTGAATATACGTGTATAAGTTATATAGATAGTATTTAGATGTATACATTTATAGACCTGTAGGAAAATATGTAGGTGTCTTTATTTGTGTGCATCTATAGATATATATTTATAGATCTGTTTATAAGTTTGTTATAGTAAACTAGCTTCTGTTATTTTCAAAGATGTCGTGAATAATTGCAGATTTCTTTTTGTGGCACCATTCCCTGAGTATTAATGAAGTTCTAATAATTGCTGTAGTGAGGTAAAAAATAACTCCTGACAATATTTTAAATTACTAAATAAAAGCCTTGAGCAAAATAAATTTTTCATCTCTTTTTTTTTTTTTTTTTTATTTGAACACGTTTTAAGCTAGACTTTGGATTGTTGATCAAGATTGCATATCTATGAATGTAATTCACATCCAGGTTAGATGAGAATTGTTCCTACAGGATTAAGGCATCTGGGTCCCACTGAAAGCCCAGTTAGCACCCATTGAAATCAACCTGGGCAAACCCCTGTGGGGCCACCATGGAAACCGTGGACAAACCCACTTGGTACCCATATTCTAGCCCAGTTCAGACCCAATTGGGACCCAGGTAAATATTCCTGACAGCACCCTAGTGGGCCACAGATGGGCCCACTAGGGTGGGCCCATGTGGGGCCACCATGTGAGTTAACCACATGGGCCCTACTGAAAGCCCAGTTAGCACCCATTGAAATCAACCTGGGCAAACCCATGTGGGGCCACCATGGAAACCGTGGACAAACCCACTTGTTACCCATATTCTAGCCCAGTTCAGACCCAATTGGGACCCAGGTAAATATTCCTGACAGCACCCTAGTGGGCCACAGATGAGCCTCATGTAAGTTAACCACATGGGCCCCACTGAAAACCCAGTTAGCACCCATAAAAATTTACTTGGGCAAACCCATGTGGGGCCACCATGGAAACCGTGGACAAACCCACTTGTTACCCATATTCTAGCCCAGTTCAGACCCAATTGGGACCCAGGTAAATATTCCTGACAGCACCCTAGTGGGCCACAGATGAGCCTCATGTAAGTTAACCACATGGGCCCCACTGAAAACCCAGTCAGCACCCATAAAAATTTACTTGGGCAAACCCATGTGGGGCCACCATGGAAACCGTGGACAAACCCACTTGTTACCCATATTCTAGCCCAGTTCAGACCCAATTGGGACCCACGTAAATATTCTTGACAGCACCCTAGTGGGCCACAGATGGGCCTCATGTGAGTTAACCACATGGGCCCCACTGAAAACCCAGTTAGTACCCATAAAATTTACTTGGGCAAACCCATGTGGGGCCACCATGGAAACCGTGGACAAACCACTTGGTACCCATATTCTAGCCCAGTTCAGACCCAATTGGGACCCACGTAAATATTCTTGACAGCACCCTAGTGGGCCACAGATGAGCCTCATGTAAGGTTAACCACATGGGCCCCACTGAAAACCCAGTCAGCACCCATAAAAATTTACTTGGGCAAACCCATGTGGGGCCACATGGAAACCGTGGACAAACCCACTTGTTACCCATATTCTAGCCCAGTTCAGACCCATTGGGACCCACGTAAATATTCTTGACAGCACCCTAGTTGGCCACAGATGGGCCTCATGTGAGTTAACCACATGGGCCCCACTGAAAACCCAGTTAGTACCCATAAAAATTTACTTGGGCAAACCCATGTGGGGCCACCATGGAAACCGTGGACAACCCACTTGGTACCCATATTCTAGCCCAGTTCAGACCCAATTGGGACCCACGTAAATATTCTTGACAGCACCTAGTGGGCCACAGATGGGCCTCATGTGAGTTAACCATGTGGGACCCACTGAAAACCCAGTTAGCACCCATTAAAATCTACTTGGGCAAACCCATGTGGGGCCACCATGGAAACCGTGGACAAACCCTTTTGGGACCCATATTGCCTGCCCACTTATATCCCATATGGGGCCCACCTAGGTGTGCTGGCTGGGATATTTGTTCATTTTAAAGAATTAAAAATGTGAATATTCCACCAGTTTTGACTGAAACATCTTCATATTGAGTCATGTTTAAATGTTCTGGCTTATCAGACATTCATTACTTTCCAGATTTTTTAAAGTCATTGATATCCATCCTGGTCCTGTTGGGTCTGAAGATAACATCATTCTGTATTGTAATCCTGCTGTGGAGAAAGACTGAAGGTGGAAACATTTTCTGTTCTAATGAGATGTGTTAGTTTTTATTAACCGAATAAATGAAAAAATGGAAGATAAATCTACATTCCTGTAGGATGAACATGAGTCTCATATCCATATGTGATGTTTTGTTTTCAGCATGAGTGTGGCAAGGTGACCTTGTTTTTCCTTTTGAGTTAGATTTTGATATTGTTTTGGATTGTATATTTTGAAGTTATTTTCTTAGTTTATTTTGGATTAAATGTTTTGTTTTTGCATGTTTTGATTGGTTGTTGGTCACGTGCCGCATGCGCCCCACGGCAGCAACACAGCTGATCCGCATCTTCATCAAGTTGTTTACAGATCAGGAGGAGTAAAAAGGCCATTGGGACTGTGACGGCGTGAAGGAGCGGCAGACGGCTCGGACTGGCTTCAGGCGTTGGCTACAGGAGGGACCGGCCCTGAGGACTGCTAATCTGGTCGCGGCAGAGGAGCGGGCGGCCGGCTAAGGAAGTGGAACTGCTGGGCTGAGAACCGGAGATCAAGCTGGACGTACAGAAGCAGTAAGGACCGTGTTCCCCTGAACGGAGCCGTTGGCTAGCGCTCACTGAGGTTCGTGTGGACTGGAGGATTGTTTGGACCGGGCTGGACGTGTGAGCAGCAGCGGACCGCGCCCCTTCCTTTTCCCCCTGTTGTGGGCCAGTTAAGACTTTTTTTTTAATGGACTTGTATAATGATCCTTCTTCAGCAAATGTTTCCTTTTTAACTAGTTGTTTTTAAAATAAATTATTGTATCCCTTTTATCAGTTTGTTGCGCCTCTGTCCACAATCCTGCAGGTTATTTTGTATACAGAAAAATTGAGCCTCTCGGCCTTCACAACTTGGCGCTGTGAGCAGGGCCTGCGGGATTGTGAACAGTGTTTTTATTAGACATTTTTTTAAAAAAAGGAAAAGATGATGATGCCCATTTATCCTGGTGCCCCATGGATTCCTAAATTTGAAGGGCAAAATGATGATGTTAAATATAACGAATGGAAGGAGCAAATACAAGGTCTTTTAGATGCAAACGATTTGCCTGAATCGCATAAGGTAAAAATTTTGATTGGTGCCTTGTCTGGGTTGCCCAGACGCCAAATTAATGTGCTCTGTGATGATGAACGTGATAGGGTGACAAAAATATTTTCAGTTTTGGATGACTTGTATACAAAGAAGGTTCCTGTGTCTGCTTTACGGTCACAATTTTTTGGTTGTGTGCAGAACCAGGTGAGTCCGTTCAGGCATACGGACTCCGGTTGAGAGAGCTGTATCGTAAACTACAGAAACACAATGCGACTGAAGCACCCACTGATATTCACCTTAGGGACCAATTCCTGCTTGGCCTGGAGGATGGCGCCATGCTTCAGCTGCTAAAGCGAGTTGTGCGCCTAGACCCTGATGCGACCTTCAGCGCTGTTCAACAAGAGGCTCTTCTATTAGAAGAGGAACAAAGTCCAAGATGGCCTGAAGCGACATGTGCCGCGGTAAGGGACCCTAACACTGTTCGATCTCAACAGAGTGATGTGTGGAAACAGGAGCTGAAAAAGGAACTTATGGAGGAGGTAAAGGCCCAGATGAAGGACCTGGCCTGTGAACTGATGAAGGACCAGAGGACAAAGGGTCCCATGCCAACATCAGCGTACCCCAGGATTGTTCCCCCACGTCGCCGAGGGAAATGGCACCCGGACCGTGACACCAGTTACCAATGGGATGAGGATGGTAGGCCTATTTGTAGAGTGTGCAAAAATCTGGACATATAGCCAGATTTTGCAGAGAATCCTCTGTAAATCAGCCAGCTTTAAACTAGCACACCCTACTGTAGCGGCCTATACAGTGGGGTCAGGTCAGCGAGACCAAAAGGCCACGACCGATTTAGTGGGGCAACTGCCCCTATGTGGAGGTGTTTGTGGGAGGAGTCAGGTTGGAGGGACTTTTGGACACTGGCTCACAAGTGACACTTATGCAGCAGAGCCTGTTCCTCGAACATTTCCCTGACTGTGATGTTAGTAATGCGCCTACCTACATCCAGCTTAAGGCGGCAAATGGCCTTAAGATCCCTGTATAGGCTACGCCCTAATGGACTTTAAGATTGAGGGTGTTGATATTAACCAGAAGGGTGTTTTTGTAGTGACTGATGAATGTTCTACTAACCCCTTTGTCATTGGCATGAATGTAATTAGACCCTGTTGGGATGTAGTCTTCTGCAACCCGGGGAAGCCTTTGTCTTTTTGCTGCCAGAGCCCGAGGTTCCAACGGGCATGGCGGGAGGCTTTTTCTCTTTGCCGGAGGATAACTGTTGCCACAGAGGACGACTTCAAAGGATATGTCTGGCCAGCTCAGCGACGAGGGGTTAAGATCCCGGCAAGAAGCGAGGTGGTGATCTGGGGACGAGCTCGAGCAGGACCAGCTGGGAGAGACTATTGTGGCCTGGTGGAAGCCTTAGAGGAGCCCGACACTGTTTCAGTGGCCCGCACCCTCGCTGTCGTCAGAAATGGTAGGCTCCCTGTTCGGCTGAAAATTTGAATAACTTTCCAGTTACTTTAGGGCGCTACCGGAAAATTGGCCGCCTCTATCAGGTTGATGACGTGGATGTCCATGGAGG